AAAAAAAATTAGAACTGGCACTGCCATTCTCATTTGCACCATTCAAAGCTAGAAATCATGGAATAAATAACATCTATCAAATCCTGAGCGAAAGGCCTCACCTCGAGATTCTGATACTGAAGTGACTTGAGACAGCACATCACCCATCTGTCAGAGTGCAAGAAAAGGATTTGCAGAGAACAAGGAATCAGACAGAACATCATCTGAGGAAAACACTCAGAAAGAAAAGAAAAAGAAAAGTTCAATCAACAACCTATAAAGAGAGACTGAAAAATGGGAAAGAGAAATGAAAAAGAGGAGGAAGGGGGCAGCAGCAGCACTTGCCCAGTGGTAGAATATTATAAATTCTAAACACAGTTTCTTTAAAAAGAAAAGAAATAGTTCAAAGGAAAAACCTAAAAAATATTTTGCATCAAAAAGTACTAAATTAGCTCAGTGAAATCTAGGAGTTAGATGAGTAGGGGAGGGGGGGGGAAATTCTAGATATCTCCTCTAGAAAAGGTAAGATTAAAGTAGGAAAGTAAAATTCATCTAAAGATCTCATTTAATTTGGGACAGCCTACAGGGGAAATAGGTAAGAGCCTCCTGGTGAGAGGAGATAGCTGGATCTGAGTATTATGGTAGGAAACCACATGTTGGAGGTTGAGGGTGGGAAAGGAAAAATGCAATAGATGTCTAAAATAATAGGAAAAAATGGCAATAAAAACAATTTCATCAAACTGACAANAGAAAAAGAAAAGTTCAATCAACAACCTATAAAGAGAGACTGAAAAATGGGAAAGAGAAATAAAAAAGAGGAGGAAGGGGGCAGCAGCAGCACTTGCCCAGTGGTAGAATATTATAAATTCTAAACACAGTTTCTTTAAAAGGAAAAGAAATAGTTCAAAGGAAAAACCTAAAAAATATTTTGCATCAAAAAGTACTAAATTAGCTCAGTGAAATCTAGGAGCTAGATGAGTAGGGGAGGGGGGGGAAATTCTAGATATCTCCTCTAGAAAAGGTAAGATTAAAGTAGGAAAGTAAAATTCATCTAAAGATCTCATTTAATTGGGGACAGCCTACAGGGGAAACAGGTAAGAGCCTCCTGGTGAGAGGAGATAGCTGGATCTGAGTATTATGGTAGGAAACCACATGTTGGAGGTTGAGGGTGGGAAAGGAAAAATACAATAGATGTCTAAAATAATAGGAAAAAATGGCAATAAAAACAATTTCATCAAACTGACAAAGAAACTAAAGTAAAATAAAGTAAATGTAAGAAATAATAACAATAGTAACAACATTTATTATATGACTGCTAAGCGTCAGGCACTGTTAATGACCATATATACTTAACATCGCTTAATTATTCCAAATGTATAGAGTAAATAGCCCTATCCCCATTTTGCAGAGAAGGCATTGGAGTCTAGAGCTTTAACAACTCCCAAGATGAGACCACTAAGAAGTAGCAATACCAAGATTCCAGCCTGGGCCCCCCAGACTCCAAGCCATCATCTAACTAGCTTGCTCTGCATGCTGCACCCTGAGCTTTTCTGTTCCTGTCACCTGTGTGTTTGTCTTCTTTCCACAGCACTGCCCACTTGCTTACTTTTGTTCAGATATTTGAAAAGGATCTAACATTTACTGAGCACATACTATGTGCCAGAAATGGTGCTAAGTGCCATTTATCAGAAGCAAGAAAGAAGAAAGAAAATAATCATACCAGCCAAAAGAGAGTCTCTGCGAACATTTTGCTATAAATCCTTTTTGTCTTTATTTTCCAATGTGTATTATGAATATTTTGTAATCTTCTGTTTTATACATTTTCCCAGTGTGGTGTGAACATCTTCCCATTGTTATTTTGAAACATTACTATTAGTGGTGGCATAGTAGTCTAATGGATGAATGAAGTCAGAAAGCACCATTATTGATTGATTTCAGCACTGTGCTAGGTGCCTGTGGTCTTAGGTGAACAAAATAAAATTGTTGCCTTAAGAAGTTTACATTTTTTTTAAGAAGTTTATATTCTAATGAAGGTTTTAAACAAGTAAACTGTCCTAACAATCAATGTAGTAAGTATTATAATAAGAATAATCAATTAGAAGGGGGCAAGGAACCTAACCCAATCTTGGGGGTCAGGAAAAGCTTCTCAGAGGATGTGATGCTTAACTGAGATCTGAAGGATGAATAGAGTTAAAGGAAGTGTATTTGGGGGTGGGGGAAGGAGAGGGTAGGAGTAGGGTTTCTTAGGAAGATTGTTCCAAGTGGAGAAAATAGCATGTGCAGACGGGTAAAGCCAGCATATGGCACATACAGCAATCCATGTGACTGGAGGGTTGAGTGGGAAGAGGGACAGGTAGGTCTGGACCACATCATAAGAAGCCTTTTAAGCCAAGATAAGTGGAGAACATTTATTCAAGGGACAGACTAGGGAAACAGAACACATAAACGTAATGAAGATGGGAAGCAAGAGATGGAGGAGGAAAACTGGGAGAATGCAGTGCCTGAGAATCTGAAGGTCAGGAAAGCAGAGTTCTAAGAAGACATGACTGACATCGGCAATGGCAAAGCTGCAGATGGTCCCCACAGGCAAGGTCAGAAAATTACATGTCGGAATTGCAAATTCATTCCTTGGTCACCCCACCAAGAGTGGTTTCTCTGGTCCAAATCCAGAATGAAGTGGGACACACGGGGCAAACTGGCAGGGGGGGTGGGGGATGGTAAGTGAGCAGAACCCACCCTTAAGCCTGACTGGAAGGGGATGTTGTGGGGGTGATAGAGGCTTAAGGCAGGTTTGTCACTGTTTCCTTTTGTATGTCTGTTTAGTTCGGTTTTTGGAATGAGGGAAAGGGACTCTCAAATAAGGAGGGTGGAAGATATGTGAGAGAGGGGTAGTTGTGTTGAAGCAAGGTCCCTGCGAAGGACAGAAAGCTGCTCCCCTGAGACAGTGGCAAGGCAGAAGGATGCTGGAGTTATGACCGTGTTCATTAGAGAGACTTTGCAAAGGTCTCAGCCTGCAGAGGGCAGAAAGGCCTATACACAGTTTTTCCACTGCATGGAAACTATGCCATCTACCTGGGACTGAAAATACTATTATGAGCAAATCCACTGTTGAAGGTGCTAACTAGTGGATTGTGAAGGACCACATGATGCTATGCCTTCAAGACACCTTGTTTCATAAAAATATACAGACTTTTGACAATTCCCACATGTATAAGATATAACAAGATTTTTACCAAGTCATCAAAGCCTAGAAAAAATGAACATCACCTTCATTAATACATTTATCAAAACTAAGTTTTGTTGTTCATAGACATTAAGTGTTTTTAAAGATGTAAGTACTTACTTCATAGCATCAATTATAACCTAAAAGCCATAATGCGTTCTTACACATTTCTCTCCAAAATCTTCTTTAACAGTTGTCACGAATTTGAAGAAACTAGATAATAATTTAGTGGTCAAAAATAGTTTTATTTAAGAAATGTACCTGTACTTTGTGTTTGTAGGACTTTTTTTTTCAGTAAAGTTGCTGAAATGTACAGTAATTTTAAAGCAGACTATGTGGGTGTAATTTCAATTTAAATGATTCATTAACTGCCTAAAGTACAACTGACCTTAGCAAGTAGCTACACATGTTATAATTGTTGTAATCAACTTCATACTTTATTCATACATAAAGACCATCCATACATCACACAGAGTCTAGCACATGATAAGTAATCAAAAACTATTTGTTAAATAAATGGTCCCTGAGCATTCATGAATATTGCCGCTTTTAAATGCACTCATATACAGCCTGACTGCAAATAACCTAACATTTTTCATCAGTCACTCTAATGCAATATATGTTTAAATGTTCTTACCGATTCTCATTTTTATTTTGGCCAATAACATGACATGAGGAAGATAGATATTTTTCAAAGGCAGTGATGGACTTGCATATTCAGTGTTTGATACAGGAAATTCAATTGTTTCTCCAAAAGTTAGCATCTACAAAGAAACATTGTAATAAGAAATTAGTTAATGTGGTTTGGAATAAAAAAAAAAGACAGAAAAGTTTCTAAATCCTGTGGACACAAAAGCATTCTTACCTGTTTAATAAGAATGTTGTGAGCCTGAGTCAACAAATGTAATTTTTCTGTTTTTAGAGAAGGACATGCCTTGAATTTCTCAGCTTTTGTTAAGTCATCCAGCAAAACTAGGCTTCTTGCCAGGGTTAACCAAGACCGAGGAGAAATAAATTCATTTCCTTCAAGCAAATGTATTATATCCTATTAAAATAAAATTATTCCTTTTTATAGTACTGTTTCCAATTCATTCAAACAAGAGCTGACCATATTGATTGTTACACGTTCAGTACCTCATGGAATTTAAAATTCTCTCTCCTTTTGTTCTAACTGGGGTCTTTCCCTAAATATAAATGTGAACAAGGTTCTCTTCCTACCTGAAGATTTCTTATGATGTCTGCCTTTAAATGCTTTTCTTGCAAGCCAAGGATTACAGCTTGCATCAAGAATTCAGCATGTAGCTCCATGTTGTCTGCATTTTTTGCTTCCATACACACTTCGTCGATGAGGCTCAAACAATCTGTCATATCGTTCTCTAAAATAAAAAAAAAATGTGGTTATTTAAAATGCAATCAGAAAATAAGGAAGTGTATATGTGTAATATCTCCAATGTTCATCACAGGAGTATTGTATATCAGAGAACAAGAGGATATTAAGACAGAAAACAAATAGACTCTACATAAAACATGGAAAAGAAATTTGTCATTTGGAGGGAAGTACTTTAGGATATTCCACTGCTGCAAAAGTAATAATGATATCATATGAAATAATGTAATTTGAGAGATGGACAGAGATGGGTGAATAGATAGGTACACCAACAGATCATTATTAATCACTGCAAGAACTAACATTTATAGCACCAGGCTGTCATCTAAGAACTTCAGAAGTTTAGCTCCTTTAATTCTGACAATAATTCTATTAAGTAGGTACAATTATCTCCATTTTACAGATCAGGAAACTGAGGCACAGGGGGATTAAGAGACTCAGCCAAGAAAGACTTGACAAGGAAGTGGTGGATCCAGCATATGAACCCAAGTGGGGTGGTCAGAATCTGTGCCCTTCACCCCTACTCTTAGCTGTCTTCCTAGATGACAAGAAGACCTGGACATTAGTATTTTGAAATCTCTGTCTGCTTTTCATATATTGGTAACGTATATGTCACTTTCAGTGATTCAAAGGACTGTTGAAAATGATTATTCTTATTTAATAACCTGAATTTTTAATTCTGGAAACAGATCAAACTAAAAAGTTATAAAATGTTAACATTTTATTAAAATATCTCAGTAAAGCCCACTTCACCTATATAAAATTAATTTTTATAAAAACATTGATTAGGAAAATATGATATTTGTACCTTTCACGATTCCAATGCCACGAATCTGTGCGACAAATGCAGTCACCAATGCTAAGCGGCACCTCAACCACAGATGAATGCTGAAATATTCTCGGGAATTTAAGGAAACAGGATCTAAAAACTCATTATCATCTTCATTTTCAGTGGCCTGAACAATATTAAAATGGTGGTTATCTTCCCATTTAATAATATCAAAGTTCTAGCCTAAGGCTAAATGTAACATAAGAGAAGCATCCCATATAATTTTAACAACATTAAGTTTTTAAATTTAGAAACTATTCTTGCACATTCTATAAAATATAAAACATATACAAAAAAACCCAAAACAAATAAAACACGTACAATCTCACAATCTTCTATTAACATTTTGGTATACTGCTTTTCTCTCTATACCCACTGTTGAAAAATAGTTTCGTGGTCTGAATTTTCATGGCAAATTAATTATCAGCAGTTTCCATGTGATCAAAACTTTTTGTAAGCATTATCTTAAGGGCTGAAATATAAGAAATAATATTGACTAGAATGTATTGAGCACTTATTATAGGCCAGGCAGTGTGGTACCTGCTTTACACACATGATCTCACTTAATTCTCCTAACAGCCAAAAAAAGCTATTATTATTTCCATTTTACAATTGGAGAATCAAGACCTAGAAAGGTTAACTATCTTGCTTAAACTCCATCATATTTTGGCAGAGGTGAGATTCAAACCCGTGTGATCTTGAATTTAGAGTCTGCAGTTTTACTGTGTTACAGTGTTGTGTGCTGCTCAAACACGTATTTCAATTGATTGGCCACCCTCATTATTACATTTTACAGTGGGGTGGCGAATGTTCAAAGCTACTGGAGGGAGGTGCATATGGAGCTTTATCCAGGGTAGAGTCCATCATAGACACTTGGGAACTTTAAAATCTTCTAGAACCCCCATTTGTCCTAGTAATTTCCTGCTGTGCATCTCTGACAGCTCCTCAAGTCCAACGAATCAGTAACACTTGCCATCCGGGGATTAGACTGTGGACAGGCAGGTGGGAAGTACAGGGAGAGAAGAGTGAAAGTACAGGGAGAAAGTACAGGGAGAAAGTACGGGGAGAGACAAGGAATAAGAGTAAGCAGTGAACAGAGGCCCCAGGTAGGATGGTGATTAGAATGGGCTCATCAAGTACTCGAGGAGTATTTAGATTAGCAATACAGAAAAAAATGCCCATCAATATAACTTAATCTCACAATGCTTACATTTCCTGTTACTAATGAAAAGTCAAGTCACACAATCTAAAATCAGTGTTTCTCAATCTGGTCACTAATGATTGATATTTGGGGCCCGATAATTGTTGTGGGGGTCTGTCATGTACATTATAGGATGTTTAACAACGTCCCTGGCCTCTACCCAGTAGATACCAGTAGCACCCCATCTAGTTTTTACACCCAAAATGTCTCCAGACATTGCTGAATATTTCCTCGGAGGCAAAATCGCCCCTTGCTGACAACCATTGTTCTAAGTTAATTTTTAGAATTAGATTGCTTTTTAGCATTTTTATTGCTTTTAATACAGTAAGAAATGACTCTCTATGTAGGATCGTTAATTTTGCTAATTTGCAATGATGCTAGATATTAGCAATTTTATTAGTAATGCTTGATTAATGAGAAAGGATTCTGTGTGACAAATCTTTACATTTTAATCTTAAGCCCTGTATTGTTAAATTACTTGATCTTATCAAAGTGCAATCACAGAATTTATGACACCCATTGTCAAGTAGATTTGAGACCCTAAATATGGAAGAATCTAACTATGAGGAATCCAAAATAGGAAATAGCACAGGTGTCTTAATGGCAATGCTGAAGTAATAAACTCCAAGTGGGATGAACAAGTCTTGTGAAACAACTTTATTTGCTAGAGAGATAATTTCTAGACTAACATAACAATACATCTAGATAGGAAATTATTATATCCAATTCCATGAGTTCACAAATGAGATTACCAAATTAAGAAAAAAAAATTAAGGGACTTGCCTAAGCTATACCACTTAAATAGCATCAATAAGACTTACATGTGGATCTTTTTACTCTGAATTCAATGTTTTTTTCTACTTTACCCCTTTGCTTCATCTAAGTAATTCCTAGCACGCCAATAGTTACATAATAAGTATTGTAAGGATAAATGTTAAACTCATACATACAGAAGTTCCTGGAGGGATGGGATTCTCTGTTTCGTCTTGCACTACTTTCTTTTTAAAAAGTTCTGAATCCTGGAGAAGTTTCAGTGTTGAAAATACCATTGCAGCACTAAAATAGAGAATATTTTTTAAATGTTATTAGTATTTTATTTGTGGCATTTATTATTTTCTCTCTTCCTCCAACGACAAACATTCCCATACCCCCAAACACCCCCCAAACTATTAGGTGCCCCTTCTATATGCCCTAATAGCACCCTGATCTTAACCATACGGTAGTACAGTCAGTCAACCCTTGGTATCTACAGGAGATTGGTTCCAGGATACCGGTGGATATAAAATCTGAAGACATTCAAATCCCAGATGTAAAACGGTGTAGCATTTGCATATAACCTACATACATCCTCCTGTATACTTTAAATCATCTCTAGATTATTTTAATACCCAATATAATGCTATGTAAATAGCCGTATTATTTAGGGAATAATGACAAAAAAGTCTGTACAAGTTCAGTACAGAGGCAACCACCCACTTTTTTAAAATTATTTTGAGTCAGCAGTTGGTTGAATTCATGGATTTGGAACCCACAGATACGAATAGCTGACTGTACGTACCACATTATTTACTTGCCTGTGTATTGCTCTACAGCTAATTTGTCTATTCCCAGCATCTAGTATAGTGACTGGGATATAATGGAAACTAAAAAATATTTATAAATGAACATGAATGAATAGAAGAATAAACGAACAAAGGTTTCCAAAATCTAAAACAAAATTTATTGACAAGCTCATTAATAAAATGAGCACACACATATTTAGAATGTGGTTCTCCAGCTTTTTGAGGTTATAGAACTGTTACTAAACAGTATACACTTGGAAACTCTCAAGCTAAATTATTACTTAATCAGTGTCTAGCAGTGCCAGAAGGGAAATGTACGAAATTAAGAACACAGATGCCAGGGGATAAGAATTCTCTTTACTTCCTGTTGCTACCTACATAAACTTGTCTGCACTCTAAACCATTATATCCTCTTCTCCTGTAGACTGATAATTTATAATTGACATCAGACTGCCTCAAAATATTTTAATTGTATATACTAAGAGCTGCCTTCTCTTGAAAATCTGTCCCAAAATAAAATTCAAAATACAATACAATCTGTACACCTGAAGATGCTCATTATAGTTATTTATAACACAGAAAGATTGGGTAAAAGCCAAATGGACAATACACCCATCTAATTTCCCACTTGATATCATCACTTGAATAATTAACAGACAGTCACATTTAACAGGTGCAATGAGTTCAGTTTTGTCACCCACTAAAGGTATGTTGAAGTCCTAACACCTATATTTCAATGTGTGATCTTATTTGGAAATAGGTTCTTTACGGAGGAAATCAAGTTAAAATGAGGTCACTAGGGTGGGCCCTAATCCAATATGACAGGTGTTCCTATAAAAAGGGGAAATTCGGACAGAGACAGGATGCATGGAGGGGGAAGATGATGTGTAGACACACAGCGGGGAGAACAGCCATGTAACAGGAGTGATGCATCCACAAGCCAAGGAACACCAAAGATTGGGGGCAAACACCAGAAGCTAGAGGAGGGAAGGAAGGATTGTCCACCAGAGCTGTCAGACAGAGCATGGTCCTACCGACACCTTAATTTTGAACTTCTAGCTGCTGGGGCAGCCCTGGAAGACTAGTAACAACAGGTCAAAAGCAGCCTCCTCCACCCAAACCTGCTTCTCTTCCATGTCCTCTATCCCAGATGTAGAACCCAGTAGTCACCATTGCTTCCTCTCTCTGACGTGCACTTTATGTTCAATCCATCAGCAAGCCTGTCAGCTTCACCTTCAAAATGTGACTACCATCCAGCAGGCCTCCCCTCCTCCGCTGCTAACACCTTTGTCCACACCACCATCATCTCCAGGCTGGACCACTGCAGTCACTTCCAAACCAGTCTGCTGTCTCCCTTGCCCCTGCCACAGTGATCTCTTCAAGAGTAAATCAGATTTACAGATTTCAGAGGCCTCCTGCATCCCTGGACCATGGTCAGTTATCTCTTCCTCTGGGTCAGTTACTGAAGTTTCTGGTATTGCACACGGTCAGCTTCATCCATATCCACGGATGTTTGTAAGAAGGTATAGTCTAGGTTTGTGGCTCCCAGAGAATGCATATATGCTCAACTTTTTAAAAATATATTTTTAAAGTCTCTTTTGTGGGGGGTCAACTTGTTATACTAAAAACTGTAAATACTGTGTTAACATTGGCCACAGAACCATTTTTCCACAATCTTTTTTTTTTTCATTGATGATAACTGGGCGGGCCAGTTAGCGCAGTTGGTTAGAACATGGTGTTGATAACACCAAGGTCAAAGGTTCAGATCCCCTTACTGGCCAGCCACCAAGAAAAAAATAGGTGACAATGATGGTAATTGGTATTTACTAAGTACTTACCACCTGTTGAGTGCTATACTAAGTGCTTTCTGTGAATTAATTCATTTAATCCCCAACACAAATCTACAGGTAGATACTATTATCATCCCTATTTTACAGATTAGGAAATGGAGACACAGAAATGTTAAATAACTTGCCCAAAGTCACACAAAGTCACAAAGCTAGAAAGAGGAGGCAGGATCAGAACCCAAGCAATCAGCCTCTGAGCCTGCACTTCTAACCTACACTATGATGCCGCCTCTGTCTTTTGACAGTTCTAACAAGTTTGGTTTAGTTGATATCGGTATAGTGTTACTCAGTGTGATATTTATGATTGTTACATAGTCACTGATGACTGTACCTTTTGTCAATATAACAGCTCCTCTTGGTCCAGTTCAATGCCCTTTGCCTTGCATTCTACTTAGCATGATATTCATTACAGCCACGCTTGCTTTATTACCTTTTATTAGTACCTTTGATCATCCTTTTATTTTTAAAAATGGCTGGACCATTTTTGAC